TGGGTTCGCTGCAGGAGGCACCGGCGCTTCGCAAGCGGACAGTGCTTAGCCGGTACCAGCGCAGTTCCATCCGCAAGCCTGCCCCTGCCCCGCGCCGTCTCAACATGTCCCCGACGCTGGCGACCGCAACCGAAGAGGACGACGACAATCCCATCTACGAGAACACCTTCCAACCCGACAGGTGATCTCGCGGAGCACCACTAATTCCTCCCCCCCCCCCCTCCCTCAAGTGATGGATTAAGATATATGTAGGCGCCGTTTAAATTCGATGTGCGTGCTGCTTTATCAGGATGTACGCGTTTCAAACGCCAAAAGCATCGCTTCTTTCTCCAACCACCAGATATTTTATAAACTACATCGGGCGGCGTATAAACAACGCGCAAAACTTGATAACTTCTTTTTCTTCTTTTTTTTCTTGAGGTGACAACCATGGGCGTACCAACCCGGGGGGGCAAGCATGTGTTTTGCCCCCCCCCCCCCCCCCCCCCCCCTTGAAACAGCCGCCACTGGGCAGGGCAAACGCTGGTCGGCGGCGCCCAAAGAATACCAAGCGCAGCGCCCCCCCCTCCGGGGGCTGCCCCCCTCAAAAACAAGTTGGTACCCCCGCTGGTGATAACGAGTAAAGAGGCGATTATCCTTGGTTTAGTAAGATCTCGAGTGCGTGTCTCTTCCTCATTATCTGAAAACAAAAGAGAAATGTTGACACCGGTGGTAAGACGCGGTCGCGGCTACGCTACAAGGTCTTAAAGTATAAGGTCCGATGGAGAAAATCAAATTCTGACATTCTATCCCATTAAATAAGCTAAAAACCGCAGAATTCTGAAACTCCGTGGAGGTTGTGACGTTTGCGGTGATGATAAAATGCGAATGCTTGAGTACAGTACGTTGCCCGCATCAAGAAAAGGTCTAACAGAAAAACAATTTCTTTTTAAGAGCCAGCGAACGTCCACATAGGCCAAATATTCGTCAAACTTAGAAAGGGCATGGTTGGCGCCTGTGGCATTCATTTCAGTAAATCCAACTTGTCAGCAAGAAAAAAAAAAACATTTTACATGTTCGTTTTATTGAAATACTTTCCACGATCGTTCACAAAAGAATATTTCTTGGATTTACGAATATTAAGCATAAATAAATGTTAGCTCACTAATATATATATATATATATATATATATATTTACTTATTTGTTCTGTTTTTTACATTTTTGAATTTCATCACCTCCCTTAATTTTACGTTCACACGAAATTTTAAGATATTTACGCAGCATAGTTTATTTACGCAGGCCGAAAAACATGGTTTCATATTTAACCTTGTCAATCCCCGAAAAAAAAAAAAAAAGCATGGCGCTGTTTGTAGCCATCTGGAAAATATGCTTTGTCACTGTTCGAGCCTCTGCTTCACCTTTCGTAGCTCGTGTCCGCTGTCCCGCAACGTTCTTCTCAAACTTCTGCGGGATCCAAAACTCTGCAGACAACGCTAGCGTTGCGCATACGCATTAGCGCAGCCTTCGATGCAACACACAATAGGGAGTTTTCGTAGACCGCGTTTCCCCCTCCGCTAAGCCCTCCGCAACGAAGCTGCTACTGCGCCAGCGCGCCGATGGCATTAGGGAGTTTTCGTAGATCGTTTTCGCCGTCCCGCAAGGCCCTCCGCAACCCGCTACGATAGCGGAAACTCCACAGTCAAGGCTATCGGCGCGCAGGCGCAGTAGCAACTTCTTCGTTGCGGAACGCTTAGCGGAAGGGGCAGCGCGGTCTACGAAAACTCCCTATTGACTGGAGAGTTCCGCGTATTTTGCGGGTTGGTGGAGAGCGTTGCGGGAGAGCGGAAAGGATCTACGAAAACTCCCTATTGACAAAATGAGACACCGTAAAGCCGCGGTCTCATTAAAAACGTGAGAAAATCGCCTAAAACTTTTTTTCTAAGATAACGGTGTTCCGACCGCTAGGACTACATTTGGGTGGAGAATGGGCGCTCGGCGATGCGTAGTTTGTTTTTTGCCGTGAAAACGACCCTGAAAATTTTTTTGGAGGACACTTTCTACCGCCTGGCCCTGGTATCGAACCAGGGACCTCTCCATTTCCAGTGGGGCGCCCTACCAATGGGCTAACCAGGAGTTAGACGCCAATGAAGCAAGCGAGTTTTGACAGTTGTCACCAGTCTAACACCAATAAGGGTGAAGGCCTGCATTTTAACGTTATGATATGATGATGTAAGTAATACAAAGGTGCAAGCGAGCTGGACAAGAATAACGAAAATAATTATTGGAGAAGGGGAACAAGGCGTGCAAAGGACATCCTTTGTCTTAATATCATAACCTTACAATACAGGCCTTGTGGGTGTCAGGCTGGTGGCACCTGTTAAAACCCGGTTGCTCTAGTGACGTCTGACTCCTGGTTTAGCTCGGTTGGTAGAGCGTTCCACTGGAAATGGAAAGGTCCCTGGTTAAATACCAGGGCCAGGCGAATTTTTTTTTTTCCAGTCGTGCTCCAGTCACTTACTTGTGTTTAGAGATGTGTGTTTGTCCTTTGTTCCCCTTCTCCGGGAATTATTTTAATTATTCTTGTCCATCCCCGTTTGCATCTTTGCGTTCATTGCATTACCCCCCCCCCCCCTGTCCGAGTCTAAACAGGCGAGCTGGTTGATGTCACACATATTTGAGAAAGCCGGACACGACGTGTCCCCTTTTCGTCCGTCGTCCCGGTTTAAAAGAAATGTGTCTGTTTTGATTTTTTTCCTATATGACCATCCTGTCAGATTGGCCATACGAAAACTGTCTGCAATCATGTTCGAAGCATACATATGCGGAGCGCTATTTCGTCTGCTTCTTTTGCCGGGGGTTGCAATGACGTCAAAACGCCGAGCTCTGATTGGCTCCGATTGAAGGATAGTTGGTCGAGCTCAAAGCAAGCTGCCTTGAGGTCTACCCACTATCCTTCAATCGGAGCCAATCAGAGCTCGGCGTGCTGACGTTGCCACAACCCCCAGCGAACGAAGCAGACGAACTTGCACCTCGCAAAAGTATGAAGCAAAACTTCTTCGAACATATTTTCAGGCGTGCCCACATAAAATTCTATCATCGTGTCTGCGGTGGATACCGTGTCTTTTGTATGATTCCTTGAGCGGTGCGACTACGTTCTAGTTCAGACATGTTCGTTTGTGTGTGATTCACTGCGTCACGACCGCTTATGACTACGCTTACGACGAGGTGGTTGTCATGGAAACCGTGGTCCACGCAACGCGTCATAGTGGAACGAAGGAGTATGCGGAGCGCAAGTTTGTCTGCTTCTTGCACACGGGCTGCGCAAGAAGCAGACGACTTGTTCTCCACATAGTAACAGTTGTTCACACTCAAACACGAGTGTATATGCAAGAGCCTTCAAGAATTAACACCTATAGTGGGGGATGGGTGACCGAAGCTTGGCACAGTTTATGCTGCGAAAGAGAGTGATGGACAGACGAGAGTTTTGGATTTCTAATAACCGATCGTTTTCATGGGATCCTTTCTCTTCAGACACGATGGCGCCGAAGATGGCGGCGTCGGCAATTCCAAGGAGAACATCCTGCTGGCTACGCTGAAGCGGTGAACGCGAGTGAAGAAGCTGCGAGGCACTCGGGCCACCGGGCACAGCTAATGCCACCCAGGAGATAAGGCCCGCACCTTTTTCCCCAACGTCGTCGATCGTGGATCCACGCCGCCCAGCGCGCGTCCGCTTCGCCGTCGTCGAGCTTCAGCGTATGTGTTGGCCGTTCGGGTGGGTCGGGGATTCACCAATGATGACGTAATTCGCATGCCTTATCTTCTGGGTGGTGTTGTCAGCACTCACAGAGGGTATCATATGATGGTCGCCTTTGTACGCCAAGTGGCGTTCAGGTATCTGAAGTCTTTCTCATGCGTTCATTTCGGTGCATGCAGTCGAAACACTTCTGACGTCGCCTCAAAGCACGCAGCTCGCTGGTGCTGAGCAAATTTTGTTTCGTGTCCGAGCGTACGTCGCAGCTTAAATGTAGCGA